CCCCCAGCCGCCCCGGCTTAGCAGGAGGACGCACAGGGGGTCTTCTTTAGGGGCAGCGGGGTCTTACACCCCTCCGAGGCCCCGCTGCGGGCTCCTCTCTACCCCGGCTTTACCACCACAAACCTTCGAGGGAGAGGACTGGGCACGAGGGAAGGCGAAGGGGAGCCCCGGAGCCCGGCGGGGCCGGGACGGCTCCCGGGTGCAGCGACGGGAGCGCGGGAGGAACGGAAACCCAGCTGGAAGGACGGAGGTGGCCAGAAGCTGTGTTACGGAGGAGTCTAGACAAGAGATTAGCAAGGCTAGAAACAGAGGCAAGAGGCAAAAAAGCGCCTTATTTCAGAAATAACTGAACAGCTGCAGCTTTAACGATGGAGAGGCCAAAGGGCAGCTCAGTCGAAAAGCAGTCGGATAAGCTGAGCCTCCCGCGTCCCAGCTCCCAGGCACGCGCTCGTGGCCTCGAGCCCACCGAACACAACAGCCCCAGGGGGGCGGAAAGCCTCCCCGGCACCCATCCTGCACCCGCCTCCTCTTCCCAGCCGGACGGCGTGTCGGGAAGCGGGGGCACAGGACGCTTTCACACCGAAACGGTGCACGCACGCTGTCGGGGACGCACAGGATCCCCGGGGATCTCCCTCTGCCGCTCCAGACCCGTCACTCACCTCGGACCGGCCGCAGCGGTGCCCCTTCCAACACGCTCATCTCCAGAAGGGTTCAGCGAGCTGCTGCAGCGCTTCCCCGCTGGATTACGGATTAGCCGAGTTATTAATTAATAAGCAGGTCAAGTTATTCATATAGGAAAGCTGTTCAGGCAAAGCGCGATTCGACTAAAAAGCCTCTTCATCCACCCGCTCCAACCCCCTTCTTCCCGGCGGGGAGCCGGGCTGGAGGAAGGACTGGCCCCTTGCTACCTCGCCCAGCCGGGAGCTTTCGTCCTCCTCCCAGAGCCGCCGCGAACGACCGCGGAGACACGAATCACTCGGCCTGCGTTTTCCCCTATGATGAATTAAAAGAATCTGTACACACCCAGAAACATCGATAGAAAAAGTTTACCAAGTCCATGTTGCTATTGTACACGTCTTAATACACTTCTTGCATACCAACAGGAAAAACAAAACAAAAAAAACCCCAGGATTAAAATACACATCTTCCCAATCGCCGAGCGTACCAAAACACATACAAAAGGCGAGCTGCCCGAACGCTAGCACCTCTGCACGCCGAGTTCGCCGTCCGTCGATCCCTCAGCACGCTGCGCTGCTCACTGGGAGAAGCAAGCAAAATCAGTTTTTACATGACTTGTCCCGGCATCGTTACCCCTCGCTGATTGACGGCGCAAACGTTGCAACGCTGACCCGCGCGGATCGTTTGCAGGACTGAGTTTGGGATCATTCGGTTCCTCGCCAACCCCCATGCGATCCAGGCCTGGGCACGGCTGGGAGCTGATTTTGGGGATGAGAGGGAGCAGATGTGGGTCTGAAGAAGTGCATCTAGAGAGCTACTGATCTACAGGCCCTTTGCACAAGGGCAGAACAACACGCCGAGGCCACGGGCGCTTGGCCGGTGCCGGTGAAGGACAAGAAGGCCTGGCCTTCCCACCCCCCCAGCTCCCGTTTGTTTCAGGTATTTTGCTTTGCATCTCCAAGGAAAAGACATAATTTTTTTTAGGAGACGGACAAGGATGTTGGGAACAGATTATTTTATGGCTTATAAATAAAGAAGAGCAGCCAGTATTTCAGCAGCAGGGACGTGACTGTCAGATTGTCGCATACACCAGTGACTTCACTCACCCCTGGGACCTTCCCCGGCCTGAACCAAGACCTACGTCTTCTGCCCTGCGCTGGTTCTTGTTGCAGCCTCCTTTCAAATAAGACGCCTGATTTATAGCGTATTTTTTTCCCTACTTATTTTGCCCAAAACATTCTTGGGTAATGCTGAGTCTCAATTGGTTAAGAAGCAGGCGTTATCCAAGGCAACTCCATCTCTACCATAGATCTTACGGACAGGGAAGTATGATCTAGTACCTGCTCCACGTGGCAGACCCTTCGCCCCAGAGGCTCGACTGCTGTCCTGGCCAGCTGCACATAGGCACTTTTGTCACCATCAAGTTTTGAATAAACTTTTCTGACTTGTCTAATTCCTCCTTAGTGCATGCAGGGCTTGACCAGCACTGGTCAGCTATGGAGGCTGCGGAGGGGGATGCAGGGGCAGAAAACAAGTCAGCATGCAGATACCACTCAAATTTTCATTAGGGATACCTACGTCTTCCTTCCTTTCCCTTGAGATTCTTAAAACATGCAGAAAAAAATCCCACAGACCAAACTAGTTAGCTATTTCTTTATCCAATTTCACTTCGTTTCACTCCACATTTCGCTCCGACTGAATACATCCGTACAAACTAAGTCTGTAATATGAAGTTCCTGACAACCTTAGTACTCGCAAGGGAAGGATGGCACCACAACCACACCCACGCACAAAGTCAACACTGCTTTCAGGGTGGGCGGAGAGGAGAAAACGAAGTCACCACCTTTGTCTGACAGATGCATTGTAATATTAAAGGAAAGCTTAAAAAAAAATAATTAAAAAAAAAATCCCACCCACTCCCAGCCCTAGCCTACCACTCCGTCAGCGCAGTATGCGGCACATTTGAGACCTGCTCAGCTCATCATGTGCCAGAGAGAAAGTGTTTGTTGGGCCAGTTTAATCAATGTTCACTCACAAGTCTTCGAACGTCACGGGAGCCAATGCCTCTCAGACAAGCAGAGCACGTTTGCCATAGCAAAACCCTTACACGGGTCTTATGTCCCAATGGCAAATCTCTCCCGATAGCTACGTGAGAGTGCAACCTGGTAACTTCGGCCTCACGGCTCCAGCAGCTAAGCAGCATGTTACCATCAATGGCAGCTCGCACGCCGTAAGAGCAAGGCGGTCGCCCGCGAGAGAGTCCAGCAGAGTAACCAGCAGTTCAGGGTCTTTCGAGAAGGTGCCCAGCAATTTCCAGATCTCTGCTTGTGTCCTTGTGCCGTAAGTGAAGGGTCTTCGCGCGTGACGAGGGGACCGCGCACGTTCCTCATCCTGTCCCCTCCTATTTTAAGATGATGTGGTAGCTATCATTGGTTTCAGCTGCAAAGGAAGCAGAGCTCATGAAACACCCACAACTGCAAATGAATCTGCTGGATTCAGCCGATCCCAAGACCCCCAAGAAGTACGAAGGGGAAATAAGCAGAATGCACGTGTTCACGCACCTTTCATGGTGTCCAGAACAAAACATGATTCATCTTGGAAGTTCTGTATCATCTGAAAGAAGCCACAAAAACCAGCTTAGTCGAAAGATGTATTTAAACACCGCCTAAGTGCTTCACAGCCGTTAAGTGAAGGCTTTGTTTCCTCTGTGCATTCTGCCATTCGGTGATGGGCACAGACTTAGAGTACTGAAAGAGCGAGAAGGTTCAGTCAGGAGAGCTCAGTGCTCTGGGAGGTAGGAAATGCACCAGCCATAAATATTTATTCCTTCCTCCATCTCTGCAGAACTGAACCAGCAATCCAAGAGACAAACAATCAGATTCCAGGATGCTACTCAGAGTGAAGTCTCCCAACAATCTCCCTGCTTCTAGAGCAAAGCGAGAAGTCGTCTAAGCATGGAAAGAGGGCGTGCACACAACCTGGACTAACTCCAGGAGAACCATTCACACACCCTAAACTTCACAGGTCTCAGCAAGGTGTCCTGGGAGCAGAGCAGCATTCCCAAATCCTAACATCCTCAGCTCTGTGGGCTTCAATGATCGCCTCCGACCCTTCAGAAGCTGGGGGCGACTTGAACGCAGCCCTTCCTGAAGACCTGCTCAGGCAGGCTCAGGGACCTGTTCCTCCGGGGCCCTGGGCAATCTCTGCAGCAGAGCTCAGAGAACAAGCAGACACGAATCAGCTCAAACAACCCAGCACACGAGGTAGTAAAGAAGTTCTTGGGTAGCACCTAGAGGCTGTTACCTCATCGCTGATCAGCACGTGTATCCCTGTTGGACCTTGTTTGTAAATCTGGCTGATCTGTCGAGAAGAGATGCTGAAGAGCTGGGCTAATTTCTCCGTCAGCTCCACCGCTGTCAGCTCCTCCAGATAAATAGCGTGGTACACTACAAGAAGGACAGGAACTATTGCAGCTAGGCGCCAGTACGACGTCCATGTCTCTACCATGGATGCAGAGACACTTAAGCTAGCACCACGTATGCTAACCAGGGACAAGATTGCGCAGAGGAGCGCGGCAGAGAGGCAGCTTCGCTCGTGCATGACCCAGCTCGGGCCCAGAAGCATCGCAGCCACGTCGGGAAAGGGCTGCGTGCAGACTATCGAGCTTTGCTTTTCAGGTTAAACACCTGCTCTGATGTGTCCGTCTCACACGGCTATCATCTTTCCGAGCCCCAGCTGTTAAGTCTATAAGCAATTATAGCTCAAGGGTCTCTGCCCTCTGCTCTCACTGCATGGTTGCCGCATACCCCGAGCTATATAAGCACCAACTCTGCAGCAGCTTGGCCATCGTCACTGTCCTGCAATGCTCGTTCTGCGTTCATGCAGTCCTTGCCCCTAAAAGCTTCCATTTTGGCTTAGCACCAGTTGAGCAGGACTTTGTACCGTTCCTGGCAGTTTCCAATCACAGTAGGATGGAAAAGCAGATCTAGCACCTCCCCAGACCCCCCCCCGCCTTTCTCCCACTCCTGCAGGGAAGCAAGAGGAATCTGAATTGGAACAGGGCAAGGAAAGGACGAGCTGCTTGCTTTCACACTCGCCGCTCCAGTCATGGAGGTGGATAAACTGGCGCCTGGCTGCTCCACAAATGTAGGTCACTCATTGTTGTCTGGGCAGTACTGGATTCTCACCGGAGCTATCATTTGTCAGTTTAGCGCAGGCAAAATGCCAACAGTGAGATTCTGCAGCCACCCATTTGGTTGGCAAGGAGAAACATCAGCTAGATCAGACAGGGGCAAATAAAGAGGGCTCACCGCAGCCTTACGCTGCCCTTACTAAAGGGCAGGACGCACAGCGGAGCCACAGCCCTTTTGCTTGCCTGCAGAGCCTGCGTTAACTCGCACGTGAACTCGCTGCCTCTCACAGCGAGGCGAAAAGAATGACAGCAGCCAACACATGGCATAGCAGCTTGCAAGCAAAAGCCACAAACGTCCTTCAAGCCGCTGTGCGGATCAGCTGTATTCCAGTAAAATAAGCAGCCCTGCCTGAGAGAGGGGCCCTTCTGCTAGGCACAAAACTGACAGCCCATGGACACTCCTGCACTTCCGTTTGCTGAAACCTGCTGGTTGCTCCTCCTTGCCCCATCTGCAGCAACCCAAGCACGTGTGCCACCAGCAATGCTGCCAAATCCTTACCAAAGAAAGTACTGCTGGCTGCGTCCCCGTCCTCATGCTTCTGCTGCTGGAGGTCCCTCAGCTGCTGGGACTCCTGACACACGTAGATAGTGAGTCTGGGCCGCACCATCCTACGGACAGAGCAGCGAGTGAATGCCACTGAATGCGCTCAAGGACGCGTCTAGCTCCCCTGACACTTAGCCAACGCTCTTCTCTCTCTGATATTCTTAGAAGCTAAAGAGCGGATCAATGGGCTCATCCATCTTCAAACAAAAACCGAAAGAGGCATCGTGGCCATCCCCACCTGGCTGAAGCGGCGCAAAGGTGGGAGGCAATTGTGCGTGAGGAGGGGATGAAGTCAGTATGGGGACGTGGCCAGCTGGCTACCGAGCAGCTCACTCATCCGGTCCGCTCCAAGGACAGAGCGGCAGCGGTACAGACCGAGGCCTGCTGGCAACACGCATGCTGCTCTTCATTCAGAGTACAGTCTCGTTTTGCAGTGCAAAAGCACCTAGCGTCCCCTGCCCTCCATGTCCTTCTCCCCAACATGGAGCCACAACGTTTTAGCGCTATCTCCAGAGCCATCAGAAACGGTACATTGACCCCCTGGAATGCTTCACACACGCGCAGCTCTTGCTACCCCATATCAGAAATCTGTGCCGATACCTCCCCAGAGCCTCCCTCCAGGATACGGCCCGCCACGTGCTCTGGGCCCCTCCGTCCGGCTGCAACAGCTGCTTTTGAAATGCCCCAACTCAGACAGAAGGTCGGAGTTAAACCCCAGGCCTAGTATTTTCAGAGAAAATATTCCTTTTATAGGAAGGTTGTTCCGCCGAGACAGGTTTAGAGGCATTTCAGGGGACGGAAGAAACAAGTAGGACGTAGGGAGGGCACCCTGTTGCGCGTCTGGATTCTCTGATGTCTAGTCAGGAATACATTGACCAAATCTGTCCTCCCTCTCCCTCAAGGGGCAAGAGCATTTCTAATGCTCCTCTCTCACACGGATGTTCTTCCCCAGCTTGTCTCTGGAGCGGCTATCCTGCTGGCTAAGTTGTCAAACTTGACTGAAACAGGTTCAGAAAGATTAAGCAAACTCTCTGTTCTCTCCAAAAGCAAGTCCTAAGCACGCAGGCTAAAATAAATAGTCACCTACTGTCCACGATCAATTTTTAGAGCATACAACATACCGTCCTTTTAATGCATTGAAGAGCCTGATGCCATCTGCAGGGCCACAAATCTGGATAACATCTTCTCTAGTCAGCTTCAGTAAATCTGCACCTAGAAATTTAAAATCAAGAGGAGAAGTCACGCAGCCAAGCCAAGATTATCTGAGGGAGGAGGCCTGGACACGACAGCCGTGCCAGCACTCCCTCCTCCCGCTTGCAGAGCTCACACCATGCCCAAACTATTTCTTTCTGCTAATAACCCACCCTCCCTTCCCACAGAAGGACATTTGCAAGTTTTTCCAGACTGGTTTTGCAAGAACGTGTTTTGGTACAACTGCGCGTCCTGCATTATCAGTGTTTTTCTTTTTACAGCTTGCTATCCAGCGCCTCTGTGACCCTGGATAATGGAGGCAGTATCACTAGGGAAGGAGAGGAAAATAAATATGAAGCATTTCTTTATACACAGCGTTTTCCCCAGGGTGCACCAGGAGCACCATTTCTCAGCCCGTTTTAGAATTGGGGGGTGCTGTAAACTTCTGGAAGAGAAACTGTCACAGTCCCCCACTATTTTGCCAGTCGAAAGCAAGGTGACAAACGAAGAACACAGCTTTCAGGTAGCCAAGTTTTATTGTGTTACAAAAGAATAATATTTTAACACACGTATATTTGCCACAGTAACGTGAAGATAGCCTTGCGAGCAACTGGAGGGAAGGGGCAGACAACAAGGGGCTGTCGAAACCTACCTGAGAAGTTTGTGAAAAGCCGTGAAAAAGTGGAGAAACGGTTTCGGTGCAGCCACTGCTGGGCCTCCTGGGGCGTGCTCGTTGGCAAGAGGTTCTGCAATAGAGGAAGAGAAGGGTCTCAGCCTCCGAGACGACGTGGAAACACGTTTCCATGGAGGGACAACCACAGGTCAACTGAATCGGTGTTTATAGTCACAGCCCCAAATGCAGACCCAAGTGGACTAGGGTCACACACACAATAAAGGCTGTGGCCTGGACAGTTTTTGATTTAAAAGGTTTCAGAGGTGCAGAGAAAGAGGAAAGCAGCAAAGGGGAAAGCACCAGTGAAGATCAATGCCATAAGTAACGGCGGACTGTACTGCAGCTTTTTCACTCCGTCACCTCTTTTTCCAACCTGGAGTCAATGAAAGCTATAATTCCCCAAAGATGACAGTAAGAGCAGCCTCTGGCCTGTTTCATGCAAGCTCAGGTTTGCTGCATAAGAGCTGTTATAGACCAAAGCCTGACCTTCCCACATCCCACCCCTCCGACCAGCAGTCGGCCAGCCCAGGTGTAAAGATACCCCTTCTCCCCCCGCCCCAGCAAACTCCAGAGCGCAGCCGCCAATAAACCCGCCACCGCTCAATCGTAAAATCCCTTTTTCTGATCTTTGTGCCATCCTTACCACAAGCATAACATCTGAAGTGTGACTTACATCTGCGATCGGAGGGGGTGGCTCGGGTTGATGGTTTGGGGAGCCGTTTCTAGATTGGGGAAAAGAGCCAGACAGAGCAGAACACACGGTTAGCACCTTTTTTCTTCCCTCTCCAGCCGGGGAGCCCGGCAGGCAGCTCAGCACCTGCCCTCCCGAGCGCCGTGCCCAGCTGGCAGATGGGCCACGCAAAGACCAGCACGTGGAAACACAAGGGCATCGCTGGCTGCAGACAGCTAAGCGACTGCGGCAACGCCATCACCGCTGCGGTGAAATACTGTGCAAGAATAAATGGCTTTTATCTAAGAGTATTAACGCGATGGGGAAAGGCAGAGGGAAGCAGGCTGGCAAGCGAACGCAGGGGAAAGCGCTGATCAAACGCACACACGTTTCGCATGCAAGAGTCAAACTGGACGGCAGTCAGGGAAGGTAACGGCGCTCATCTCCGAGGGCCTTCATTTTTCACTGACGCTGCCTCTTAGCGGGCTGCTCCCGCTCCCTCGCACCTTGGGCCAGGCACTTTTCGCTAGTGGCCACTGCCAGCTCAGACACATCAATCTCTCGTGCAAGCCAGAAATCGATAGCCAGCCTCTTCTCGCTCTCCAGACTTACCCTTCACCAATGGAAAAACTGCTGTGGGAGCTGTTGAAGCCAGGGGATGGCGCGTTATTGACATATGTTATCTCTGGCCAGGGAGAACACTAGAAAGGAAAACTCAGAAGAGTCACAGGATTGCTTTTAACAAGTGCGCAGCTCTGCTCTGCTCAGCGCAGGTTAATAGCTATTTGCTGACCCGCAACCTGCTATGAAACGGAATCAAAGAATAAAGCTGGCGATTAAAAGAAGTCAAGCCAATCCATTGCAGACAGTCCTGAACCTCAGACTAAACGAGCCTTCATCTCAAGAGGCCGGAAGTCACAAAATTCAAATACAAGGAGATCTGGGATCCAAATCACCTCTCTGGCACTGGACAGGCAACAACCGCCAACCAAGCACCTTCACGGAGCAAGCAAAGCCGCAGCTCGAGGCTGAGCTCAGGCCCCGGCAAGCACCCCAGCCGTCACAGGGGGTAGGACAAGGGCTCCCTCCCCAGGGCATTTAGGAGCGGTTAGCACTGACGCTTCAAAAGATCACGTTTTACTAGAACTGACGCTTGCTACCAGCAAAGGGGGAACACAACAGGGGTTTTTCTGCTGACTCACAGTCTAGGCGGCCGGTGGCCACACGTGCAAAACAAAGTCTGCAGGTAGAAGTAAAATCTTTTATTAAATCATCTGTTACAGTGGAGGGGAAAAACCAGCAAGTTTCCAGGCACGTGAGCCCTTCTTCACGTCTAGTAAGAAACGTCTCCTCTGCCCACAAAATTCATCTTGCTTTTGCCTCTCCGCTCTAACGACTTAGCCAAACGCTTCACAGCGTTTCACTTCACAACGCAACACCCCGTTTCTTGCCTCCTGTGACCAAGGCAAGCCAGATTTTGTTAAAAGTAACAAGCCCAGCTGCCTCTTGCCGCGTGAAAGAGCGCCCCACCTCCGTGAGTATCGTAGTTTCGTAGGAAGGCTGGTATTTCTCTTTCTCATGAGGGGTTCGCTTCTCCATCTTTTCTCTGTCCGTCTTCTGCTTCCTATCAGCTCCTTTGGGCTGGAAAAGAGAGATTTCTGTCAGAACACACAGCGTCGGGCAACGCGGAAGGGAGTCAGCAGAAAGTTTGATTTACAGCAAACGCAGAGACCAGAAACGATGACTTATCTTTCAACTCATCCACTTGTTGCTTTACAGAGGAAAAAGGAAGAGAGCTGGGACTCGCTGCCCAGGGAATCAATGATAGAGAGCGCATCAGTCCTGTAACAGCCCTTCCCATGTTACATCCTAATCTTCCCACAGCCCTAAAAAACGGCCCTCGATTCCAGAACGCCTGAACAAGGAGGGGAAACGTTGCACAGACTAAAATTCTCCCAGGCTGAGACAAAGCCATAGCGCATGTTGGCACCGAGGGCACAAAGACCAGCTTCTGGCGTTGCGAGAGAAGCCCGCATCTGAGCTGGGTGAAGTTTACTGCAGCGCAATCATCCCACTTTTAAGAGGTGGCATTTCAGTGGCACGTACGGCACAAGAGACCCGTGCCACAATCCGGAAAACCATGTAATTTCTGCAGCCTAGGCAAGATTAAGATGATTTGACACGCTGCCTTCATCAAATGCTCAAAGCCTGGGGGGAAGGAGCAAATAAGAGACAGGCATCGTAACCACCCAAGCTATTCTGGTGCTCCTCTTAAAACTTGGCTGTGAACACTCTGCTTTGGCTCCTCAGCTTGGTTTTAGATGGAAGAAGTTTGGCCTTTGCAGGCCAGAGCTCTCTGCCAACGTACGGGTGCCACGTGAGCGTATCAGTGCCTCCGCGGCACTAGCAGAGGAGCGTCAGGACTGCAAATACGCCCGGGTACCACCACAGCCTTCCCTTTTTTTCCAAGCTCCAAATCAGGCATTTCCTAATTTGTTTCTTTGCAATTAAACAACAGACAGAGCCATGTTTCACTGCTCCTCCCACCCCCCCTCCTCGTTTTTTTCCTTTTTAAATCTGCCCGATGTGGTTATCGCAACCTAACCGCCAGGGACAACGAGGACAAGCAGCGTCCTAACTTTAGCAATCAGACCCAGCCTGGGGCACGTGAACCCTGGTTTCTCCCTTCCTCTGGGCAGCTGAGCTGAGACCTGACGCCCCACTGCCACCAAGCCCTGAGCTAGGTGAGAAGGTGCTGCTTAGCTGCGGTTTAACCAGCCGGCTGCAGCCATGAACAACTAATGGTTGCTATTATCTTCCCAGTTTCCGTGGTCAACGCTGTCGCCTCTGGAGAGAAGCATCTGTGCTCCAGACCCCGGAGAGCACAGATAAGAGGCTCTCAGCAGCCGTTTTCAAAGCATAGGCAGGCACCCAGTTTTGTAGGAGCAGAGGGGAGAAAGGACAGACCGGGGCAGGAGCCCAAATGCCATTAACCCCGAGACAAAGGACACCCTGGCAGGGAAAGGCCTGCGCACAAGCCTAGGGAACCACAAAAACACCGCGTTAAGTCTGCCGCCCCAACCGCAGTCCCAACACCGGGAGAGCGGCCGCATCTCACGAGCGGGAGATGCGGCCGATAA